TATATACATCTACAAATAGTCAAACCAGTAAGACTCAGTAGCCTCATGCTTTTAACTGTGAGGACCCCGCTCAAGTGAACATCTGTAGATGCGGTCCAGGCCATCTAACGCTCTGCCTGCCATCAGTTGAGCTCTCCACACACTGCAGCCTGGTACCAGGCCTCCTTGCCCACTCCTTTGGCCCTCTCAGCACAGTGAGAGCAGGCGTACAAGGTCCCAGCTGGCAACTGAACTCATTGAGAACTTAGCCTTTGATGACAGTCACACATAGTGGGAAGTTACTTATCTATATTTAGTCAGTTTTTGCTAGAATTTGAATGCTAGAATTATTCCTCAATTCTAGGATTAATAAAATTTCACCAGCACATCTTTTCAGATAGGGCCCATCGGATCTCTCTTTCAACATATAGTATGAAAAGAGAAAAAAAGGGAAGGAAGGAAGAACGTGAGGGAAGGAGGTAGGGAAATGCCATCCAGTAGGCTTCCTCTAGAGCAGTGGTTCTCCAAAAATAACCCCAGGTGCAACACTACTTAGCAGAGGCACTTGAGAACTGTGAGAAGGACAAATTCTTGTCTCGCTACCCACCGCCCACACCCTCCTTCCGAGTGCAAAGTCTTAAACTTTGAGCCCTGAGGACTTGTTAAATAGATTAATGGGCTCACTGCTGGTTTTCAGCCGCTTTGGAGATTGGATGTCTAGTGATGTTAAAGATGTGCATATCCAGTGATCCAAGAAATCTAATCTTAGGTCTATCTCCTAAAGAAATTTTCACATACTGCTTAAGGAGATAAGTATTGGTACTAAGATATACACTGAAGCATCATCCAGAGAATGGATAAATAAGTTGTATCTCTACACTATGGAATACATTAAAGAGATAAAAGTCAATAAACATAGGTATATGCATAACTCAAAAATAATGTGGGAAAAGGAATCCACATATATAGAAATTTAAAATTAACAATTGTTTATTGATGAACACTTGTAGCAAAAGGATAACAACACAGGAACATGGGGGTTGCCTCTGAAGAAGAGGAAGGCATACACAGGCAGCTTCACCTTTGTAATATTTTATTTCATAAGCTACATGATGGGTACTCAGTTCTCGCTCTACACATTTTGATATGCCTGAGATACATAATTTTTCTTTATATCTAGAATCTGCCATGAGGAGACCCAGGACTTCCTTATTAACAAGAACTCTCTTTGCTTCTGGAAGAAGGAAAAATTTTCAAGAAGGAAAGGGGGATCATAAATGCGCTCTTGGGAAATGTCAACCAACTCAAGTGCAGGGTGATCACACTCAAAGCCACCCAAAAATAAGGCAGCACTTGAAAATGCACCCTATTTCCTTCAACACAAAAGCTTTTCATCAGATATTAATGAAGCAGCATTTTGGCTTCCAAACACAATCTTTACTGGTTATTATGAAATGCATCGTAACTGAGTGTGTGTTGAAATACCCTGTATATTTTTCAGTCATCATCCTCAAATGTGGCCACCTCTACCAAGGTGTTATCCTAAGAGCAGAAGGACCCATAGACCTCCAGAGCATATGTCAGGAAGTAATACTAGTAGTTTTTACACGATACTTAAGTGACAAAAGTAAAATCTCAGTTTGGTTAAATGTTCTTCATTCTGCTTTAATGGTAAGGAGCTGAAAGGTCTCAAGTTCCAAAGAAATGATTAGAATCTTACCAGAATTTCACTATCATACCAAATTTCTCTGTGAACTTAACTAAATAATACCAACATGTTTAAGTATAAGAACATATAGGGGCTGGGGATATAGCTGTGGGATAAGCGCCTGCCTGGCAAGCACAAGGTCGTGAGTTTGATCCCCGGTACTGGGAAGGAAAAAAAAAAAAGAACAAATAATCAGTTAAATATTGTATGAAATTTTCTCATAGTAAAGTCTTTAGAAATGTCGTAGGAACATGTTTGGGCCAAATGAATTGCAAACAAAGTGAACATTCAAAAGCTTTGAAAATGTTTAAAATTTTGTCCAAATTTAACTCCAGTTTTGTATTTAGGCTTATTTTTCTTCCATGTGCCCGCTCTGAGGATGATATCCTGAGACAGTAAAGTTCATCACTGTTTTTGTTCCTTGTGACAATACTGGAGGCTTTAGAGAGCCAAGAAAAAAGCAACTTCGGACCATTTTTGTTCTCATTTTGTGACATTTCTTTCACTTTGGTGGAAGCCATTAGCAAGGTCAACATCAAAACTAATCCTCCACTTTTCCTTTCTCCGTAAGTAATTGAAGTAAATACAGGTCTCTAGAAGTTTTAATGGTGTGATATCAAAATGTACATAGTCACATGCTCTCAGCTCTGTCCTCTGAGGCCACACGGTCAGTAATACATTTGCTGTATCTAAAAATGGGGACACCACAAAACAAGGTCATTCAGAAGTGTGAGGAGACGAGTGGTTTGCTGCTGTTGTTTTTAGAACACATTCAATAAGCGGTAGTGAGTGTCTGTATCAAACTGTCACTACCAAGTTTCTTGATAAGATCTGACGTGTGAGGTACATAAACCTGTTGCGTTGTGTCACTATGGCCAGTATGGAAAAGGTTAGATAAATGCACACTATTGCCCAAACATGCCAGTTAATCTTGGTGATAACAAGAAAGAAAATGGAGGTGTGAAGTGAGTTACCATTGAGGGTGGTATCAGCATAAGCAATTTGTATGTACGGGTGTAGAGAGGTTAAGAGGGGTTACATTCTTCAACACTCATTCACAAAACAAGAGCAGAGCTCTCTAGGGCTGTGACTCTCTCCCAGTAGCTCTGAGCAGTTTATCAACAGGCACCGTTTCCTTACTAGAAAGCAGAAGGTTTTTCTGTCCCAAGTACATTTTATCTCTTGTCTTTTGGCTTTTAGTGAAGCGATGTGAGAAAGGAACCATATTATAGAGAACTCCTTTCTAACAAGGGCATGATAGAATTGAAATCCAGAATTAGTAAAGCACCAGGTCTTACCAGGGTGGAGGAAAGAAGCCTTAGGTTTGTAGAACGAATACTCATTAATTCTCAGAAATCCCTCTTGGCAAAGCCATGCATAGGTGACTGTCTTTGTCACGGGTGCCAAGAGTCTCACTGATCCCTATGAAGAGGTGTTTTCAGTGGTGTGCTTCTAACCAGCTCCTCCTCCCCAATAAGAAGAACGATAAGCCCTGACCTGCAGTATTTGCCAGTTTCCATGGTGTAAGTGCCCTCACCATCGCTGATTTCAAGGGAGCGCCTACATACAACTAGTTCTTTTTCCCATTGGGTTTTATTTCTGGGTAGTATTGTAACTCCCATCTGCACAAAAGAACTCACACAAAGGTTTTCACCCTTTGCCAGGATCACAGTCTTCGTGCATATTTTCAGTGATTACTTCCCAATTTGGTCAAGTCCTAAGTTCTATCAATATCTGTGCCCTGTGTTTTCATAACTATTTATATCTTTAAATTCTCTGTTAAGTAAGTTTTTCAAAACCACTTGCCTCACTTTTATTTTTCCCCTGCTTGTCTTGTTTTTATCTTTTACTGCAGTTTATCAATGTTCAATTCAAAAAGCAGCCAAACCTTACAGAAAAAAAGTGTATGAAATATAATGATAGCCCCTTTGAAGTATTCCCTGTAAATGATAATATACAAATTATTATTTAACTTAAAAATTTATCTTGGGCTAAAGGTGAGAAATCCTACCTAGAGAGAAAAAACTATCTTCTAGTCCAAGGCAAACAGAAGTCTGGTCTCTCTCTTCCACATCTGCTGGGGATTATCCCTCCAGATTAGGTCATGGTATTAATTCATGTTACTTGATCAGCAAAAACATGTTCTGGAGGCTTTCTTCACAGTGCTAGTCAAAAAGAAGGTGTTCTTGATCTTTTAGGAGATTATTGCTCTCTCCTCCTGTGATGCCAAAAGTGATAGTCATTGCTAAACTTCTGGCACTTTTTAAATGATCACCATAATTTTGAAAACAATAAAATCTTAATTTTCTCAATTTTTTAGTCAAAGATTTAATATACTATTGAAATATTTTAATAACAATGTATTTGAAATGAAAATTTCCGCATATAGAAAATAAATAACTCCTTTAAAGTATGCTGTATGTTTAATTTTCAAGAGTTATAATAAACATCATTTCTGGCTTTCCTTCTTTTCATGTGATACAAACAAGTTGTTCTTTTTTCTAGTTTAAAAAATAGAAGATCAAAAACGTATTAACAAACACAAGTTGTTCTTTAATTTGCAATTTAGGGAAAATATTTTTTAAAGGTGGAAGGAATATGACCATTTTGTCTCTATTCTAAAACCTTGTAATAATACTGTAGTATAGGTGCAAATAAATACACTGAAAAGAATGGGTACTCTCTCCAGAGCAACCAAAAAATTCAACAAATGATTTTTGAATTGATTTAGAAAATTGAAATATGACATCATGTGAGACCAATGTCCATTTCAGAGAATTTCATATCAAACCCAACATGTCCAAAATGGAACCCATACCTACTCTTTCTGGTCCTGCCTCTGCCAGACCTGCCTCACTGGCCCTTTTGCCATCTGTTAGTGGCAATGCTGTCTTTCCAGTGGCTCAGGCCAAATAGCTCGAATTCTATCTTTACTTTATCCACCCAGTTTATTATCATATTCTGCTGGCCCTATCTTCAGAATAATCTAGAAATTCGCCATTATTTACCCCTTCCCACTGCTACTGCCCTGGACAACGAGACCATCAATTTTCATGTGGACTACTAC